TGTGTGTGTGTACATCGATTAAGATGATCCTGTGGCTTTTGTCCTTTATTATGGTGTATTACATTGGTTGATTTTTTAATGTTAAACCAACCTTGTCTTCCTGGGATCAATCCCACTTGGTTATGGTATATAATCCCTTTTTATATTTTGCTGGATTCTGTGTGCTAGTATTTTGTTGATAATCTTTGTGTCTATATTCATCCAAATAAAATTTAATTTGCACATCACAAACATTAATTCTGGAAAACGATTTTATGAGAATCATAAAATTTATGGCAGTTTAAAAAAGGCAAACCTGGAGAAAAGAAATTATCGACATGTTCTATCTTTTTAGGCAACCAAATAAGGAAGTGGTAGTATCGAAGAAAAACACTGATAACACCCAAAACTTCCCTAAGGTATTTCATTTAAACACAGACAAGAGAGAGGCAGAAAAGCATCTTGGCTTTACTGGACCAAAGAGAAAGGGAGGCGTGTTAGACATACAAGTTGTTCGGCTGCTTCACCTCGTACTGAATTTTCTGAGGAAAGTCAGACAAATAACTTGCACAGAGAGCTTCAAACCCACAAGTGGGTACTCTGATTTGGTGAGTGGCGCACCTTTTCCTTATGTGGAGATGAGAATAAGCAGGTCACTCTCCTGCTGAAAGGCAATGTCTTCTTCCCTCCGACTCCCCACCCCCCGCCCCAATAAAAGAGCATTCTTCTTTATTAGCCCTTGGACGATTTTCTTTGCCAGTGGAGGTGATTTAAAATGTCTAAATATGATAAAGCTCAACATTTACCAAATAATAGGTCACTAATTTCTGTGAAATTCAGATTATCATTTCTTTCCAGGTAAAAGGCTTTCCAGTTGAAGTAAACTAACATTTCCCTGTTGAGTTCTTTGCTCACATCACTCATTAAAATAGCATGTTATACCCACATTAGCCATCTAGGTCTTCTAATAGCAATTTTTTTTTAAGGCTTTAAAAGGCTCTGTGGACTTGAAATATGGGGATACAGAGGACCATGAGCAGTTACAAAGACCTGCTTTCTGTTCAAAGACACCAACCAGTTACTTCAGTAACATTGTAAGGCAACAATCCTCGACGAGTCTACAAACCAGTGAAAAGAAATGGACAGACAGACATCATTCTTCCTCCAGCTGAGGCTTCCTGAGCCAGCAGACGGGCTCATGCCCCCCAGTGGTAACGTCTCGGGGAACCCTGCGTGCTTATTTCCATCTGCTAAACTGGAAACAGAGGTGCTCATGCGACATTCATTCTCAGGTCAGATGCAGTGTGGATTTTAAGAAAGAATTACTTTGAAATTGCAATTCTTCACACTTGCCCTGAATACGCAGTACTATGCTAATTACAGTTAAATTCTGTAGAAAATAATGCTATCGTAAGTTTGCTACAGTTAGAAAACATCCTTTTAGAATGAGATGCAGATATCCTTTAACAAAAAACCAACAGGCTCTTTCATCTCAGAGGCTACGGATGGCACAGAACAGCGTGCTTACCACGGAGCCTCAGATGTCATGTCTGATCACTTGGCCATTACTGATACTAAAGCCACCTTCCAGAACACTAAGCACACCCTGAGACTAGAGAGCAGCCTGCCAGTGACTCTGCACACACTGAAGCCTCTTATGCTAAAGAAAACCAAAGGGAAGGAGAATTGTTCGCACAGAGAAACAACCCAAAGGCCGAAAGAAGACCACGATCATTACTGAAAAGGGTTAAGAGCACCCTCAGCAAAGGGAAAAATCACAGGGAACAATCGGTTTTCTATACAATGTCCTCAACATCTGAGATTTTGCTTTTTTTCCATAAATAATTTTCAGTAATCTACTTCAAATTAACCACAGGAACAAAAAATAATGCTCGTATTTCGAAACTCACTGAGATATTACTGTTTCTAACTTTTCCTCCACAACTGTGATTCTACACAGGCCGTAATGAACACTGCAAACCTTACATACCAACTGACCAAACAACGACCTGGCCTGACAGAGCAATCTGGCTAGAGCTTGACCTGTGAGGCATGTGAGTTTGGTGACAAGTGATTTCGCCTGAGTCCAGGAAAAGCAACAGCTCCAGGTGCAGGAGCCGACGCCTGTCCCAGTCAGCCACACGGGCCGGCAGCGTGGGCAGGATGGCTCGTGCGGGGTCCCAGACCAGGCAGGTGCTAGGAGCACGACCGAGATGGCACACCACACGCACTGTCGAGTCTCCTGCCAGCCTACTCACGCGCCTCCGGCCACGGCGGACCCAGACCGCTCTTCCAGGAAGCAGCAGACTGACGCTCCTGTGGCCGGGGCGGACCCAGACCGCTCTTTCAGGAAGCGGCCCTCTCATCACCACTATCACCACAGATGACTAGTTCACTTTTTTTTAAACTATGACTTTTTCTTAAAATGTTCTTTTGGCCCGTGCTTGCTAAACTCAAAATGTGTCCAACTTTCTCCATTTGTTAATGGGAAGAAGGAAGCAGAGTTTACCGCCACTCTCACTGAACCCTCCACAGCTGAAACCAAGACGCCCGGGAGGCCCTACGCACCCAGGTCCTGGGACTGCCACTGTGGCCCTCGGGACACCACCGGAGGCCAGAGGTGCAGCAGTCTTACGGCCACACAAGCCACAGCCTCAGTCCCAGGAAAACCAGCCCCAATGGCCAGCAAGTGACCAAGAAACTAGTCTGTTCAAACAGCCAGAAAACAGACAAACAAGGACCCAGTGCAGCCACAAGATTATGTCCTACAGGACAGACCTTGGAGAGCAGGAGACTCCTACGAAACAATGAAGAGAGAATAAATATGGACGAAATGCCCAGCCACTCTCAACCCCCACCCCAGAATAGCCAGGCTGGTGAGTCACTGCCCTGAGGAAGGAAGTTAAGGACGTGAACTTGCACCACCTTCTCAGGATTGCCCTGACACAAACAGTATCCTGAACAAAGAGCATGAGAACCCAGAGGAAAACACAGTCGGACAAACGTTCCACTTCTCAAACTCGTCAGGTGGAGGGGGACACAGATGTGTCAGAGGGACACAAGGCATCAAGAACCACCTGGAAAGCAGCATGGTGGGTAGTCACTGACCGGGTCGGAAGGACAGCTGAGTCACCGCTGGGCCCAGCCCCACATCACGGGGTCCTGGGCCTCGGGACAGAGACACCGTGCTCTCCAGAGCTGAAGAAGTCCCGCTCTCAGTACAGGCCCACGGCTCTTCCCTGTCTTTACTGCACTCCCCTCCAACGACCTGAGAGGCAGGTCTCGGGGAACCACGGCCCCAGTGCACAGTATTTTACCACTACTCACTGACACAACAAATGGTCTTGGGCTTTAATCGGAAATGAAAATTTTCCTCACTAACAATGGCCTGACAGTACCTTGTACAACTTCCACGATCCTGACGGGACAGTTATCTGAAGTGATTTATTGGCTTTTGTCCTTAGTCACACAAAATGACGTATGTGTATAGTACCCACATGTGCTCAAGTGCCAGAATACCGGCATTTTCAAGTGTCAGTATACATCGCTGCCCACAGCATAACCCTCGTAGTGCCTGGCCCTGAAGTGTTACCCCACACAGCTCTGGGAACACATCACAATTCACTGACGTAAATCACAAACAGCCACATCCCACAGGGAGAAACCAGGTCCCATGAAGCACCCCACTCGGCACGCACTTGGAACGCATCCACAGATTAAAACACGAAGAGGTCGTAGGTGCACACCCAGGCGGAGGGAAATGTCCAGCCGGGGAACTTCTCCTTCAGCGCATCCAGCTGGGGGGATCGCTTGTCTTCCCCAGAGAAATAGTGGGCAGCCATGGCCACAGTGACCATTCCTTCCGGCTGTTCTTCTGAGACCTGGCAGAGAAAATCAGTTAGCTCCCTCATTTCCCGAAGTCAGAATGCTGAACCCCACAGGCTCTTGCTAAACACCCCAAGAACCTGCTCAGTGATACAGGCAGGGCTGGGAATGTCCCACCTGTACTTCGATCCAGAACTGCCACGCAGAGGCCTGGAGTCCGTGGGAGTAAAATACAAAGTAGTCCCCTCCTTTACTTGTGACTGGGGTGCCATTGCCCAGAGACCACTGGGTAAGCACTGCCCCTGTGTGAGCTCGGATGTACAGTGACATATGGCTTGGTCCTGCACAAGAAGAAGAAGCACGGTTAAATCAAAGTACCAACGAGAAGAGCAATGAACACCCAACCTAAGCCAGACTAGGAAGGTTTGTGCCATGTGTCACTTTAAAGATGCTCACTACAAACCCAACGGAGGCTACCAGCTGAGATTCCGTGAGCATGAACGAGGGGAAGGAATGAGGGAGAGCAGAAAGGCAGAGACTTCACAGTGAGAGGACAGGGCTGGACCTAGTGGCTAGATGACATCACCAATTCACATAATCTCTGAATCTCAGTTTCTTCACCTGCGAAATGGGACTTTTTGAGAGCATTATATTAGAAAAAGCACGTGAAGGTGCCTTGGAAAACTGCAAAGTGCTATACTACTGAGTAGGATTACTATGGCAAATGGAGCTGTAGTTTTCAGACAGAGTTGATATGTAACACCTTAAATATTTTTGACTAGTTCTTCCCTTTTAGCAGTAGGGTGAAACATCGGCTCGGATCTCACAATTTAACCGTAAGGAAAAAACAACTGGGGGCTCCCAGGAAGCTAAGGACAGTGGCGACTGCTCAGGTCTGTGTCTCCCAATATTTCATCCAGAAATGATACAGAACACCAAGAAAAAATTAAACAGAAACCGCACCCTCTGCCTAACTTACAGAGAATACCTAATTTTCAAAATAACCAAGTAGAAAATCCCTAGGGGCCAATCTCTCATGCTCTAACCCCCCACCTCCCGCTATAGGGCTTGTGGCAAGCAAAGGCAGGCCAGGAGTCCGCCCCAAGTCTAACAACAGTACTCAAGTGTCCAATCAACACGGTTTACAGGCAAGAGGCTTAGAAGTGCACACACTTTGAAGTGGCAGTCCTCAAAAAAACCAAGCTTCTCGGGGAGAGAGAAATAGGGCAAAAAAATAATGGAGAGGCACCCTTTGCCATTTGGGATGAAGGTTCAACGAAGTAAAAGGGGAAAATTTAGGGCCCTGCAAGACAAAAGTTAACCAAAAAATTGGAAGATACATAACCCATCCCCACACCCCACCATGTAATTATAAAATATTGACAGTTGAGACCAAACATATGAATCATAAAAATAAATGTGAATAGACTTAACTCATCCATTAAAAGAAAAAGATTTTCAACTTGGCTTACAGAGCCAGATCCAATCATATACTATATTCAAGAAGCATACTTAAAACAAAGAGATTCAGAAAGGGCAAAAATAAAGGAATGGGCAAAGGTATTCCAGGCAAACGTAAACAATAAACAATCGCATCCAAGAGATGAAGGAGACACCACAATTACATGCAATGAAGGATCCGAGACTGGATCCTGGAAAAAAAACGGGTATCAGGAGAACACTGGTGAAATGGAATAAGGTCAATAGTTTAATTAGTAGTACAGTACAAATGTTAATTTCCTGGTTTTGATACTTATACCATGGTTATGTAAGGTGTGATTCCATAATCTAGAAATCACAACCTACAAGTGGCCTTTCAGTCTTCCTGACTACAAGTGCTTCAAATCAGAAGATTTCTACTGGTGTTCTATTTTCAACTTCAACTCTAAAATCATCCAATAAGCTCCAGGCTTAAACAGAAGTTTGGATTTCAGATTAAAGGGGAAACTCCCACAACACAAACAAAAAAAAAAAACCCACTACTGATCTCCTGAGACCCGCACCCTAAAAAGAAGTCATGTAATTTATCAGCCAAAACAACTTAACAGTAAAAGGGGTGACATACAGTCATCCTACCCAAACTGCCGATATAACAACTTAAAAATAGGTAAAGTCCACCTTAAGAAGCTAGAAAAAGAACATCAAATGGAATCTCAAATAAGTAAAAGGAATGAAATAAAAATAAGAACCGAAATTAATGATACAAAGAGGAAAAAATATAAAGTCAACAGCTGGTTCTTTGGGAAGATCAATACAGTTGATAAACCTTAAGCAAGACTAAAAAAAAGTAAAAACACAAATCACCAATATTAGGAATGAAAGAGGGGACATCACAACAGATGCTATAGATATTAAAAAGACAACAGAAGTCTATTATGAAGAACTATATGCCAATAAATTTGAAAACTCAGAAAAATGGACAAATTCCTTGAAGAACACTTACCAAAACTGTCACACCAATAAATACAAAATCTAGATCGCCCTATATCTGTTATATGTCATACGGCAATTTTAATATTCCCCACAAAGCAAATTCCAGGCTAAGATGGCTTCACAGTGAATTTTACCAAACATTTAAGAAAGAGATATAATGTCAATATTACACAAATTCATTCAGAAAACAGAGGAAGGTTTTAGTGTCATAAAGTGTGCCAAGAAAGGTAACCAAAGCCATGATGTCTACCAGTGCCAGACCAAATGCAGTTATGAACCTGCCTGACAATGAGCCAAGGCCTGACAAGCAGCCAAGGCCTGACGCTGCACGTTTTTTAATAAGGCTCTTTAAAAATCATAGCCAGCCTCACCTGCACCCACTTTGAAAAACACTGTTAAGCTCCTCCTAAGTTGCTGGTCACTGTAATAAATTTTGAGGGGAAAAAAAATACATGTAACTTATAAAAAAAACTTAAAAGTGAAGGAGAGAAAAAAAGCTGTCATATGACTTACCTGTTGCTTCAAAGGTCAACCTTACAGAATCCCAGGGAGTCTGTTCTTTAGATATAAGTCTGAAATGAGCACGGTTTCTTGGAGAAACTTCCGAAGCAGGAAGATACCAGTTTTTCCTATTTGGAAAGGTAGCTTCAATATTTAGGATGCCTTATTAGCTTATAGCTATCTATCACTCATGGAGTGTTTGTAAAATAGAAATATATTTTTGGGTATGACAAACAATGCCAACTTATTCCTCTGAAGCTGAGGTTAGTGTGTAAGAAAACTTTGCCAAAGTTAAGAACAAAGGTGTTAATTAACTAGGTGATCTTGATTCAACTGCTGCTGTTGTTGTCAGGTGCCATCGAGTCGATTCCGACTCATAGTGACCCCACCCCATGTGACAGAGTAGAACTGCACCTTAGGGTTTTCTAGACTATAATCTTTACAGAGGCAGATGGCCAGGTCTTTCTCCCGAGGAGCCCCTGGGTGGGTTCAAACAACCAACCTTTCGGCTCAGCAATCCTTCACTACTACACCATAAAAATATCCCAGATATAAAACAAACAACTGCAGATTAATCCTTAACTTATGTCTATTAGATAGTCAGGAATGCCACCCTTTCTCAGGACTGCAGTTTCCAGAGGAAAGACTTTGTAAATTTGAAAACGCAAAAGTACTCTACTGAGTGCTTTATCCCACTAGAGAAATAAAACTTTGGTAGTTATCAAAAAAAATACTACCAACGGCACCTAACTTCCTGTTAACAGTTTAGATAATAAAGTACTGATACAGTGACAGGACTTGAGAACAGACTAAGCCTCAAATAAAGCAGAAAACCAATGAACCAACTTGATCAGGAAGTGCACCGGAAGGTACCACGGGAAACCACAGAGGGGCGCTGTCTCCTCACAGTGAGCTCGGATGGTATCGTTGATCTCGGGGATGTGCGGTGTGACGTGAGACATTCCAGTATAATCGAACCCATTGATCCATATTCCGGAGTCCCGTTTAACCACATTTCCATCCAAGTCATGAAATGTTCTAGTGATATGCTAAAAAGAACACGACTGACTGGAAAAAACTGCCGTTTCAACCATTTTGCCCACCTCCCCACCCCAGATTATGGAAAATGAGTGAGTCTGACAACACCCAGAAACGGTGTGGGTACAGGGCAACAGGGAGGCTGAGGCCCTGCTGGCGGGAGTGTATGCTGGCACAGTCACTTCACCAAGTTACGTCACATCCTCTTCAGGCCAGCAGTGCCCCTCCTGAGGACACAGCTAGAGAAACTCTCAGCAAGTGCACGAATGCTGATCCAGAACTGTCCATCTAGTAAGGAACTAGCAACGGCCCAAGTGTGCATTTACAGTAGATGAGCACCATCCTACAACCCAAGTCTGTTAGGCAGTGAAAATAATCAACTACAGCAACACAAGTCAACATGGATGATTCCCACATACTGGTGAGCGAAAAGTCAAATGGGTACTTCTGGCTGTAACAAGTTCAAAAACAGGCAAAACTATACAATGTCGTAGAGGACACATATGTGGTAAAATAAACATAAGGTATGACTGACCCAAACTTCAAGATAGTGAGTACTTCTTTGGGGGAGGGAAGGGTGTACAAAGAGTTGGGATGGAGGACACACTCGGGTTTCTAAGGTACTGCTGATGGTCTTTCTTTTAAACTGGATAATGGCTATACAAAAGGTTCATTTTATTATTTCTTACAACTATATTTATATATTTAAATTTCACAGAAAAACAATATTTCATATTTTAAAGACATGAACAGTAGAATTCTTTTTAGATGAGGATTTAAAAAAAAATCCTAAACACACACACACACACATTCCCCTTTCAACATGTGGTAAATGAAGCTAATTCACGTGCACAGAGATCACCACTAGATGACAGACTTGTGCCGAACAGAATTCTACGAAGTACAGTGTTCCGTTTGGAATAACTTTACTAACAGCAGAAACCAGCCTGAAGAATATCAAACAGAAAAAAGAAAAGTAATTGCATAGGGCAAGGGTCAACAAACTACAGCCCACAAGCTAGGTTTGGCCCCTGTCTATTTTTATAAATAAACTTTTCTTGGAACACAGTCACACTCATTCGTTTACGTGTTATCTGGGGCTGCTTTCACTGTAAAAACAGAGCGGCGGCAACAGAGACAGACCGCGTGGTCTGCAAAGCCTAAAATATTTACCATCTGGCCCTTTACAGGAAAAGTTTGCCAACTCTTGGCCGAGGGGAAGGAGGCAACCCAAAACACATCAGAAGAACAGGACTTTTTAAAACTAAAAATCTCCTGACATAATTTTAAAAATTAACCAGTCACTGAAAACATCTTGCACTTCCTATAAACTAGCTGTGCTTCACTAAAGGCTCGCCCAATTGTCCAATCTGTCACATAAGATGTCGTCCAGGGCTATAACCAGGAAAAGCCGGCCCTCTCTGGTACTTCCGTTCAGGCATTAGGATGAATTCCGCAAGGACCAGTTATCTAGACCGTGCTCCCTTCGGCATTTCTGTCGGCCACACCATCCCGCCCACCTGTGACAATGACTACCAATAAGGCAACGGGTCCTTTCTGCTGCTTTCCTGCAAAAAGCCTGGAGAGAAATCTGAAACCTGGAGAAAGTTCTAGATCTCATTTTGGTAATCCCTTTCTAAATTCCTATGTTTTCACTATGTTAGCTAAGATCAATTTTACCAACGTTTCACTGTACTCTACCTGTCCTACTTAGTTGGGAGTTTAAGGTTTTCCACTCAGCCTGCAGACATTTTTACAACCTGCATTTCTAAAAAGCCACTACTGCATGATGCCTCCTTGCACTTGTTTTTCCAAGCAGGTGCATTTCTATAACACGGGTGGTAATAAACCCAGTGGCCACTTCCGAGTCAGTATCCTGGGAAATGAATGCCTGGCTGACAAGAACGCCTCCTGACGGCCAGTCTTGGCCTTTCCGCACTGACACACACAGAACAGGCGGGTCTTAGGAAATAGGTCAACAGAGAAAAGCCAGCTGGGTTTCCTGTTGATTCGTGAAGCTCGAACACACGATGCTTTCCTCTCCCAACTCTCAAAGAAGTCACGCAAAGGCGTTCTTACCTGCAGGAACACCCTCTTTGGCTTTGGACTAGCAGGATCGGAGCTGTATGGGAAAAAAGTCCCACTGCAGACGAGGAGGAAGGTAATGCCACATACCAAAGTTAAAGCTACCAAGGTCTTTTTCGTGCTTTTGGCAAGGTAGATGAAGTTAATCTAAAACACAAAAAGAGAAAAATTACAGATACAGACTACTCGCAGTGAGGTGTTTTTAACTGCCTTTATTTTTACAAGTATTATTCTAACAGACCATGAAGAAACGTATCAGCATGTTCTACCACTTGCCAATGCCTTAATTACAGAGGTCTTCCATCACAAATCCGTTCCCCAATAACATGTGCCTCCAATCTGCCAGGATGGTGCCTTTTCTGACAGGCAGTGGAAGGCAGTAGAAGAAAAGGAAGCTGAACACGCCAGCCAAACCATTACACTACTTTCCTTCCGATCCTACCAGCACCCTGACATAGTGAACACTGCACAGCAGACCCCACGTAACTGCCCAGCTGCATGGCATCAAGGCGTTCACCAATAACCCAAAACCAAACAAACCCACTGCCATCCAGTCCATTCCGACTCATAGTGACCCTACAGGACAAAGCAGAACTGCTCCATAGGGTTTTCAAGGCTGTAAATCTTTATGAAAGCAGACGGAAACATCTTTCTCTTGTGGAGAAGCTGGTGGGTTCAAACTACCAACCTTTCAGTTAGCAGCCAAGCACTTTAACCACTGCACCACCAGGGCTGCTCACTGATAACCACAGGGAAGCTTTTTCAGCCCGTAGTTGTTAAGTGCCCTTGAGTGGGTTCTGATTCATAGCAACCCATGTGCAACAGAAGGAAACACTGCCCAGTCCTGTGCCATCTTCACAGTCATCGCTATGCTTCAGTCCACTGTGGCAGCCACTGTGTCAATCCATCTTGTTGCACGTCCTCCTCCCCTCCACTCCACCAAGCACGAAGTCCCTCTCCAGGGACTGGTCCCTCCTGACAACGTGTCCAAAATACGTGAAACAAAGTCTCTCCATCCTTGCCTCCAAGGAGCATTCTAGTTGTACTTCTTCCAAGATAGATTTGTTCATTCTCCTGGCAGTCCATGGTATATTCAATATTCTTCACCAACACCATAATTCAAAGGCATCAGTTCTTCTTCGGTCTTCCTTACTCACTGTCCAGCTTTTGCATGCGTATGAGGCCCATTTCAGTAAAACTCAACTTTCGCTCATAAAGCTTTTATAATGCGCCAAGATGTTGGACTGATTTCAACCTGCACTCAGATGTACCTTCCAGACTGCCTGTGGACATGCATAGGCAGAAGAGCTGCACAACAAAGAAAGCTGTCACCTTAGATGATGAGTTAACTAGTGTCAACACAATCACAACCACAAATGTCAACGTAGGCCCCCAAGACTATGGACCTGAGACCCCTAAGACCTGGAAATGAAGCCGTTCCCGGAGGCCACCTCCCAGCTGAACAACAGGCCCACAACATAAACAAGGACACCAAGAGGAACGTGTTCCTGAGAACAGTCAATTATATGAGATCAGAAGGACAACAAATGCCCAAAAGCAAAGAAGAGAAGGCAGGAAGGGGCAGAAAACCCATATGCAAGGTAACGGGGACCCAGGGCAGAAATGGGGAGATTGCTGACACATTCAGGGGAACGTAACTTTATGTATTAACTACCGAATGGTAAACTAATTTGCTCTGTAAACTTTCACCTACAGCACAATAAAAAAAATTTTAAAAATCTACACGTGGGCAATTAGGGTGAGTGGCTTGGCCTCAAGGCAGGTATCCAGAAAATCCTAAATATGCTTGTGTTAACTTTTTAAATGTAACAAAATTCAAACAGGATACACAGGACTTACAGAACATGTCCACAGATCCCTCAGGGGTTCTGAGAGAGCCACTCTGAGAAACAAGGATCCAAACCCTGCTCCCCTTCTTTTCCTTCTCACCATTCCCAGACCCAAAGGTCAGTAAGTAGAGAAGAATAGACATATGAAAAGATTTTGAGATCGAAATGAAAAATTAAGGAAATATTTATACCCTGGCATATAACTCTACCATGTAGAGTTTAAAGGATTTTCATGTCTACACTACCCCATCCAGGGTAATCGCCAACAAAACAGCACTGGTTTTAGGTCAAAGATCCTACATTTGCATACTCTGAGCACACAATTTGGCAAAGCACCCTAGGGCTGAAGGCAGTGAGTTAGCAAAACACAATGTGTCACCCTGCCTGCCCCTCTTGCTCCTAACACATCACAATATTTAAAACTTGGCTCATAAGAACAGTTTCAAATACTCTGCCAAGTAATGAGCTTCCTCTCCAGTGGAAGGGTGACGAGATTGATTAGTCCAGAGTCTTTTAGGTCAAAAAAGCTCCCTGCGATAAGCTCTGGGGACTGTCATTCTTGAGCTAGCTACTAACAACATGAGCCCAAAGTGACCCCTAGCCTCAGTTCAAGCTCTCGTTTCCACATTCAAATGCTCCCTCTTCTCCAAATCAACAAGCCCCATCTCTGCTGCCCCCACACACCTTCTGGAGGAGGGCTGGTGATGGTGATGGATGAAACGGGCATCACAGAACAGAGGAAGAAGAGAGGGAGTGGCCAGAAAATGACAAGGTTTGGGATGCCACTGTCAAGCACCCTTCTAATCCTATTTCTGTCTTAAATGTTGTATTTGAGCTATTTCTCTCTGAGAGTTTCCCCCCGTTCTGACCTACTCCTACTTGTAGTCCAGTTTCGGTTTGTGTGCAATCAATACAACCATGACACCCTCGCAAAGACAAACTCCAGGGAACCTGTTAACCGATCACTTGACAGGAACTTAACTGCTTTCTAGGAAATATATTTAGTCAATTCCCAAGGACTGAGAGAAAAGCTCTCTGAAGTATGCACTGTGGTTCCATTCTCCACTACCCAAGAACAATGGTCTCTCTCCATTCACAAGCCACGCTCTTTAATACGACTCCACATAAACAAAAAAGCTATGAAGAGATAACACAGCATCCAAGGGCAGCAGAGCCAGCTCACATTAAAATTAAATGAGGTTTTTAAAGTATTTCAAGAGGCAGTCTTCTCTCTAAAAAGCTTTCCTAATAAAATGTAATTTAGAAGATAATATACTTTAATCCTCTTTCTTCTGGTTTCCAAGATTTTCATGCTTTGAAGGCATTTTTAATTTCCACAGAGAAAGTTTCCTCAACATCATGCTTGAAATCCTAACTAGAGCAGTAAGGCAAGAAAAAGAAATAAAGGGCATCTAAATTGGTAAGGAAGATATAAACGATCCCTGTTCGCAGATGGTAAGATCCTATACATAGAAAACCCCAGAGAATCCACAAGAGAGCTACTGGAACTAACAGAAGATTTCAGCAAAGTAGCAGGATATAAGATTAAGATATAAAAATCAGTTGGATTCCTCTTCACAAACCAAAGAGAACTTTGAAAAGGAAATCACCAAATCAGTATCATTTACAATAGCTCCCAAGAAGATAAAATACTCAGGGATAAATCTAAGCAGGAACATAACAGACCTACACAAAGAAAACTACAAACACTACTGAAAGAAACCAAAAGAGACCTACATAAATGGAAAAACATACCATGCTCATGGATAGGAAGATTCAACATTGTGAAAATGTCAGTACTACCCAAAATAATCTACAGATATAATGCAATCCCAATCCAAATTCCAACAGCATTCCTTAACAAGACAGAGAAACTAATCACCAACTTTATGTTGAAAGGGAAGAGGTCCCAAATAAGTAAACCATTACTGAAGAAGAAGAACAAAGTTAGGAGGCCTCACACTACCTGATCTTAGAACCTACTACACAGTCATAGTAGTCGAAACAGTCTGGTACTGGTATAACAACAGACACACAGACCAACGGAACAGAATTGATAACTCAGACGTAAATCCATCCATCTACAGGCAGTTGATCTTTGACAAAAGGCCAAAGTTCACTAGACGGGGAAAAGGCAGTCTCTTTAACAAATGGTGCTGGCATAACCAGAAGTGCGTCTGTAAAAAATGAAACAGGCCGTAGACCAAAACTAACTCAAAATGGATCAAAGACCTAAATACAAAACCTAAAACAATAAACATCACGAAGAAAAAAACAGGGACAACCCTAGGAGCCCTAATACATGACATAAATACAATACAAACCATAACTAACAATGCACAGACACCAGAAGATAAACCAGATAACTGGGAGCTCCTAAAAATTAAACATTTATGCTCATCAAAAGACTTCACCAAGGGAGTAAAAAGAGAACCTACAGAATGGGAAAAAATTTTTTGCTATGACATATCCGAGAACAGTCTAATCTCTAAAATCTACAAAATATTTCAACACCTCAACAACAAAAAGACAATTCAATTTTAAAAATGGACCAATGAACAACAAAAAGAAAAATAATTCAATTTTAAAAATGAGCCAATGATAAAAACATACACTTCACCAAAGAAGACATTCAGGCATCTAGCACACACATGAAGAAATGCTCGTGATCATTAGCCATTAGAGAAATGCAAATCAAAACTACAACGAGAGACCATCTCACTCTGACACTACTGGCACTAACCAACAAAACAGAAAATAATAAATGTTGGAGAGGCTGTGGGGAGATCGGGACTCTTATGCACTGCTGGTGGGAATGTAAAATGGTGCAACTACTGTGGAAAACGACATAGCACTTCCTTAAAAAGCTAGACATAGAAATACCATACGAGTCAGCAATCTCACTCTAGGAATATACCCTAGAGAAATAAGAGCCATCACACAAATAGACATATGCACACCCATGCTCACTACAGCACTATTCACAATAAACCTAATGGATGAATGGATAAACAAATTACGATACATATACACAACGGAATACTACGCAACAATAAAGAACAATGATAAATCTACAAAACATCTCACAACATGGATGAATCTGGAGGGCATTATGCTGAGTGAAATAAATCAATCACAAAAGGACAAATACAGTACGAGATCACTATTATAAAAACTCAAAAAAAGGTTTACATACAGAAAAAAACATTTTTTGATGGTTACGAAGGTGGGGAGGGGAGATCACTAACTAGATAGTAGACAACTGTCAACTCTGGTGAAGGGAAAGACAACACACAATATAGGGGAAGTCAGCACAACCAGACCGAGGCAAAGTCAGAGAAGTTTCCTAGACACATCCAAACACCTTGAGGGACTAAGTTGCTGAGGCTGAGGGCTGGGGATGATGGTCTCGGGGACATCTAGGTCAAATGGCATAACACAGTTCATAAAGAAAATGTTCTACATCCTGCTCTGGTGAGTAGCATCTGATGTCTTAAAAGCTTGTGAATGGCCATCTACGATACATCTATTGGTCCCATCCCATCCGGAGCAAAGGAGAATGAAGAACACCAAAAACACAAGGAAAATATTAGCCCAAAGGACTAAAGGACAACACGAATCACAGTCTCCACCAGCCTAAGCCCAAAGAACTAGATGGTGCCTGGTTACCACCACAGACTGCTCTGACAGGGATCATAATAGAGTCACGAACAAAGCAGGAGAAAAATGTAGAACAAAATTCAAATTCACAAAAAAAGACCAGACTTACTGGTCTGACAGAGACTGGAGGAAGCCCCTGGACACCCTGCTAACTCAGAACTGAAGCCACTCCTAAAGTCTACCTTTCAGCCAAGGAGTACACAGGCCTATAAAATAAACAATAACACACGTGAGGAACATGCTTCTTAGTTCAATCAAGTATATGAGACCAAATGGGCAACACCTGTGCAGAAACAAAGACTAGAAGGCAGAAGAGACAAGAAAGCTGGACGAACAGACACAGAGAAGCCAGCATGCAAAGGGAAAGGGGGAGGGTACTGACACATTGCGGGGACTGTAGCTGATGTCACAAAACAGTATGTGTATAAATTTTTAAATGAGAAACTAACTTGAGCTGTAAACTTTCACCTAAAGCACAATAAAATTAAAAGAAAAAGTAAGTTTCCAGGGTTCATTTTGTCCCCTTCCATATGATCATGGGACAGAATAGAAATGTCCTACATTCTAGTCATTTTTCATGGGCTTCAATAGGGTTCATTCACTGTCTATAATTTTCTTTACTGGGGGGGGGGGTCCAGTTTATAGCTCAGCTGACTTTAGGTAGAACCTAATCTACAGATGACGAGAAACAGCAAACCTACCTACTAACGTGTGTAGAGAATATAAAGGCTTAATATTAAAACCAAAAGAAGTAAACCCTGCAGGCAAGAAAGAACATTTAAAAATTTTCCATTCATCCCTGCAAATACCAATAAGGACTTAATCATTATCTTTAAGGTAAAATGGTTGGAATTCCCAGATTTTTTAGGGCTAACACTGCAGAGCTCAAACAGCTGTGTCCGTAAGAATTACTCCACAGGGCTATATACACAAAGCCACATTGTATACAGGGATTTACTGGCTTTTTAAAGGATTTTCATGGATAATGTCGACCATGTGTGATATTCGGGGCCCTAGTGACACAGTGGTTAAGCGAATCCACCAACTGCTCCTTGGAAATCCTATGGGGCAGTTCTATGAGTCGGGTCACTATGAGTCGGAATTGACTCCACAGCCACGGGTTTGATTTTTTTTGGTCTTTTTTCTTTTTTTTTAATTGTGGTAAACATGTATGTAACAAACCATTTGACATTTCAACAATCTTTATATGTACAATTCAATGACATCAATTATGTCCGTCATGTTGCTCAATCATCCTTGTTATCTACTCCCAAATCATACCATCATCCTTAATTGAAGCTCAAAAAAAACCAAACTTGTTGTTGAGTCAACTCGGACTCACAGCAACCTACAGGACAGAACAGAACTGCCCTATATGATTTCCAAAGAGCGGCTGGTGGATTCAAACTGCTGACCCTGTGGTTAGCAGCTGAGCTCTTAACCACTGCGCCACCAGTGTTCTCTAATTACCCACTGTCTTTTGAACCTGACCTCCACATGAGATGCCCCTTACTGTATGGCTATGAAAAAGCTCACTCTCATCTCCATGGAGAAAAGGACTGTAATCAAGTCATACACTGCTTTTTCCATTTGGTCCCGTAGCCTCACCTCTCACCTAAGGGTATTCAGTGAGCATTTCTTATTCTTAGGAATTCCAATGACAAGAGCCACAAAAAAGAGAAGTGCCTCCCACAGAGGGCCCGGCGAGGATCTCCTCCAGTGGGATCCTAGAGACTGTGGCCACCACACCAGAAGCAGAACCCTGACTGGGCTTTGTTCTAGCAAAGGGGTGCTGGTTAAACTCTGTGCCACAGTTTTCTCTCCCCTCTGGAGGGTCCCAAGGGAAGAGAGGCAGGGATGGCAGAGGAGGGACAGCAGAAGGAGGGATGGCAGAGGCAGGTCCCACGTAAGGATAGCAGAGGCAGGGACAGCAGGAGGAGGGATGGCAGAGGCAGGTCCCATGTGAGGATAGCAGAGGCAGGGACAGCAGAAGGAGAGATGGCAGAGGCAGGTCCCACGTGAGGATAGCAGAGGCGAGGATAGCAGAGGCAGGGACAGCAGAGGCAGGTCCCCCCGAGGACAGCACACTGACACAGCACCATGAGGGCTGGCAAGGCCTGTGGGGCTCCTTTATAACCCGGCAAGCGAGGGCATGTCTGGGTGTCATGAGTGTCCTCACCCAAGCAGACAGACTTGCTAAGTGAATTTTCCCGTGCTAGCAGCAAGGCGGCTGAAGGATAATGAAAGAAACCTCAACAGAATCCATCTTCCTTCATTAGCTCAAACAAGCATTAATAAAACTACCCTGTGTTTATCGGCATTTGCTTCCAATCAATGAGTTCAAAATACACGACTCAAAATCATTCAAAGAGCTCACTACCAACGAATCTCTACCACCTCTCACATTATACAAATTCACATTCAGGTAGATTGAGAGGCTACCTGAAAAGAAGTATAATCAGAGGCTTTGGAAGGATGTGAAGGCAAAAACAAGCACAGAAGTCCCAGCAAGATCAAAACAGCAACGAGCAGCCCCATTCTACATTTTCCCACCATACCGACCCCACGCGACGCACAGCCACTCAGCACTGTTCTGGCTTCAGAGTTTCTCAATAAAGAAAAAGCCGGTGCTCTTTCACAGACCCTAGCGTGGCTAACTTTACCGTATATTCATTCAAAAAATAAACAAGAAAAACAAATTTTATTCCTTACAAAATAGGACGAGAGGATCATTATACACCCAGCCAGAATGGAAGCCAGCACAACGTCAGGTGGGATTTGTGTGCCGCTCCTCCCGAGGATGGGGGTGAACATCTCGAACACCGCCCAGATGAGGTACAATGCGTACAGGTAAGGGATAAACATCCCCACAAGATAAAACACCAGGAATTTTCCTCCGGCACCTAGGGAAAAGGAAAACACACGTATGTGAAATTCTATAGTCAAGAGATTTCCACAGTCCTCGTGTACCTTGGCACCTAACGTACATTATGTACCTGATCAAAAGCGAGAAAATGCAGATCAGAATTTCAAATTCTCATGGAATCCAGAGGTTCTGCAGCCATGGAGGCTGGGTAAATCCTCAAAACTACTGCCCTGAGATAATCTTTAAACCTTAAACCAAAATTATCCCCTGAAGTCTTATTAAAACCACACAACAGTTTAGCTTTAGTAAAGAATGTCTGCCTTGAGCATTATGCTCTCTTAAGAACTATATATCTGGAATCAAATTGACAAGAGCAACTCGAAAGATTAGATAGGAACCTTAGAGGGTGGTGAGTTTATGTTAATGGGGAGACAATTCAGAAAAGCGGGGGTGAGAATGGCTGCACAGCCTGAAGAATATAATCAATGTCACTGAACTGTACACACAGCAACTGTTCAATTGGTGTATGTTCTGCGGTGTACATTCTCAACAACAACAAATAAAATATTAAAAAAAGAGAACAATAAAAAAATATTAGATGTGACTTTAGCCATTTTGGTACATGTTATCTAGTAAGGTAAGACAATTCAACTTGCAAATACAAATATGAATTAAACAAACTACATAAATAATATATTAGCATGTGCTCATAAACACAAAATGGGATAGAGCATAAGGTATACAATAAAAATCTATGTAGTCTGAAAATTAAGGAAAAAAAAAAACCAGTAACAGTATTGAAAACTTACCCAACAAGATTAAAACAATAAATAGTCCCTAGAAGCTTTAAGTATCCTTTTTTTTAAATTTTTTATTGTGCTTTAGGTGAAAGTTTACACAGCAAATTAGTTTCCTACTCCATAGCCTGTACATAACGTGCTCCACGACATTGGCTGCGTTTCCCTCAGTGTGTCAGCCGTCTCCCCACTTCCACTCTGGGTTCCCCGTTCCCTTTCGTCTGGATTTTCTATCCCTTCCTGCCTTCTCATCTTTGCTTTTGGACAAATGTTGTCCTTCAGATCTTGTATAATTGATTGTTCTAAGGACTATGTTCCTCTCAGATGTTACTGTTCATCTTTCGTGCTTGTCCACTGTTTGGCTGGGAGGTGGTCTCCAGCAATGGCTGCAGTTCCAGGTCAGAAGGGTATCTTATAGTCTCAGGAGTTCCTCTAGTCTGTCAGACCAGTAAGTCTGATCTTTTTTGTGAATTTGATTTTTTGTTCTACATTCTTCTCCTACTCTGTTCAAGTACTGTGATCTCTAGTCAGAGTGGTCAGTAGTGGTAGCCGGGCACCACCTAGTTCTTCTGGTCTCAGGGTCATGTAGGACGGTTCCTGTAGTCCGTTAATTCTTTGGACTAACTGCTCCCTAAGTCTTTGGTTTTCTTCACTCTCCTTTGCTAAGAGACCAATAGTGATATCTTAGATGGCTGCTCACAAGCTCTTAGGATCCCAGACACTACTCACCAAAGTAGGATGCAGAGCACTGTCTTTATGTACTATGTTGTGCCAAATGATGTAGATGTTCCCTGAGTCTATGGTCCTTCATCACAGAGCCTAAGAACTTCATCCCACGAGGTATCTGGTATGTCTAAGAAGCTTCCATGACTTCGCCCCTTGGTGTCTACGTTAATATACATACAGCACCTACAATTATGCATGTAGAAATAGCCACAACCAAACCTATATCTGCAGGTGGGTGTGTTTATCTTAAGTATATTCAGGAATTTTCTTTGTATAAAAACCAACAATATCCTACCATGCTGCTTAAAATCCTTCTGCACAAACAGCTTTGTGAGCAGCGGAAATGCTATCCAGATAGCACTGATAAACGCCAAGCAAAGTCCTTGGTAAGTGAGAGTTATCAGAGAAACGCAATGCACAAACAGCGAGATGTCAAAAAATATTTCTCCCAGATACTGGTCACTGGTATTCTGAAAGAAAAAGAAAAAGCAGTCTCTTTCATGGGTCATTTAGACGGCTCTTTTATTGAAATCTAATTCCCATCACTCAGGAAAGCTGCATTTCGTTTAAAGCTACTCTTCAGACTTTCAAGTAAACCCAGACAAAGCTATCTCCTATGATGAAGTAATAAATTCAAATTGCTGCCTGGGAAAAGAGACATTTAACAAGATGGAATCAACACATGCCATCACTTGCATTCAATTCATGTTTTTCTTCCCAGGGCTAAAGGCAACATTTGGAAATGTTATAACATTGGTGTTGGGGCTGGGGGGAAGGACTCTTCTAAAAACATTAATCTCTGTAGGCTTTCTGTTTATGCAACTTCCCCAAAACTGTAGTGAGCACACTGAAGAAACGGCCAGAGAAGGAATGCCACCAGCCTCTGGATCCCTCCTACCGCCCGCGGGAAAATTACAGGGCCTCCAGGGCACATGGCCTGGGGGGCTTTGCTTGATTTTTCTGGCCTTTTCTACTTCCAGGAGCCCTGGTGGCACAGTGGTTAAGAGCTCAGCTGCTGACCAAAAAACTGTGCAGTTTGAATCCACCAGCAGCTCCTTGGAAACCCTATGGGGCAGTTCTACTGTGTCCTATAGGGTCACTGTGAGTCCAAATCGACCTGATGGCAACGGGTTTGGTTTGGGTTTTCTTCTACTTCCAACTGGCTTTGCAGTGCACCTTTACTCCTCCCTGTATTCCTGTACTTCACCCCAGTGGTGTAGTGGTTAAGCGTTCAGCTGCTAACTGAAAGGCTGACAGTTAGAACCCAACAGCGGTTCCACGGAAGAAAGATGTGGCGGTCAGCTTCCGAAAAGACTTACAGCCTTGGCAACCCTCTGGGGCAGTTCTACCCTGTCCTGTAAGGTCACCGTGCTGGACGATATTTTCTAAGACTTCAAGTCTGAGGGTTCCTGTGCAGCACCCAGAGTTCTCCGAGGAAAGCTTGCTATCGAACTTAATATATTCTCACGCCCGCGTGAGTGAGTCTATTACTGCTAACATGATAATTATAATTACAGCACAGAAATACCAGAAGTGAAATAGAAATAGTCAAGTTTTTCTCTCCTCTACCTTTTCATTCCTAGGGCAAGTTTGTTATAAGGGATACTACTTCAAGAGCTCGAAAGAGTTTTCACTCACGTGTTTTCAAAACAAGTTGATGTTTATCTGATGAACACCCCTTGGACGATGAAAGAAAGGTTACCATCGTTAAATATTTAAATAGATAACATGTTGCTGACCAAAAGAGGAAAATAATTCCTAGGAGTCAATTTGAAGTTGAACACCACTCAGATATTTAAAAACAAAGATCTCAACAATGAAAACTATAACAACTGAAAATGTCTTACATGACGTACCCAAATATAAAACCCCATTGCTGTTGAGTCCATTCCAACTCATAGCAACCCTACAGGACAAGGTAGAATTGCCCCATAGGGACGGAGTACTGGTTAAGAGCTACGGCTGCTAACCTAAAGGTTGGCAGTTCAAATCCACCAGGTAACTCCTTGGAAACTCTATGGGGCAGTTCCTCTCTGTCCTGTAGGGTCGCTATGAGTCGGAATTGACTCAACGGCAATGGGTACTCTTTACCAAAGCAGACTGCCACATCTTTCTCCCAGGGAGCAGCTAGTGGGTTCGAACCACCGACCTTTCTGTTAGAGGCCAAGTGCTTTAACCACTACGCTACCAGAGCTCCCTCAAATCTAGTTATCGTCTCATATCCATCAATCCCTCTCACCTCTGCCTCATTGCCAATCCATTCTCTATAGTGTTACCAGAGTCTTTTTAAATCACAAAAGCTCTCATTTACTATCCCGCTCAGAAAACGTCAATGGTGGCCCCCCAGGTTTTCAGAGTAATGCCCGAACTTTACCCTGGCCCTGCTGGACTTCTCAGCTATTGCGCTGTCACCATACAGCTCCACGACACTGAACTTTTTATTGACTGTGACCCCTGCATATCTTATACTTTCCTACCCTTCAGTGGAAACAGAATGGAATAAAAACAATGCCATCACTTACATTTAATCTGTGCTTTTCCACCAAAGGGTTAAAAGCAACCTTTAGAAATGTTCTAAGATAGGAAATGTTCTCCATCTGGCGAACTTCTACTCATGCTTCAAAAACCCAGTTCAAGTGTCACCACCTCCTCCGTGAAGCCTCCCTTACTTACCCAGCACAATGCCCCTCTCTGCCCTATGCCCCATGGCACTGCGTGTGCATCACTCCATCTTACTCCATCCTGGGCTCTGCGCTTACTGTACTGGCTTCCTCACAGTCCATGTGAAACCGTTAGCTCCTTGAAGCCAGAGGCCATGGCTCATGAGTCTCTGTCACTAGGCCTCAGCACAGTACTAAGCCCATCGGGAGCTAAGAGGGTATTTGTGGAATGAAAATGAAACATGTTACTCTTTCCATTATGCTTTCAGCCCAAGGTTTTGTGACTGCTCTCTTAAAATCAGTAAAAGTAAATGGAATTTTCTAAGCATTTCTGCCCCCAGCCCGGCCTGCCACCGCCAATGGTCAACCACACTCGGGTTACATACAGTGACACGGAAAATAAACGTGTGAAATCAAGCCCCGTGGTGTACTTCTTTTGGAAACTGAACCCACCAGGATAGAAGTATTAGTTCAACCATAAGCAGGTAGCTGACCTCAAAGAACCTTTCTTCAACAGGGCCTGCTAAGCTGGAAGGGCACCTTGGACCACATCTCAACATTAGCTGAAACATTTCAAGCAGACACATTTGAAGGAACCAAAGACATCCTTCGGAACAATGTTGGGTTACAGACTTCATTCTAATCCTTAGCAGGGCAAACCGAAAAAGCCAGTATACTGGCTGTCTTGCAAATAATGGAGCTAAGAAAGATTTTCCCCTCTAACTCACTTGGAAACTCAGAAACCAGGGCTCTCTATTTCACTGTAATTTATTTTTTTAGTTCTATTATTTTGTAACCCTAATTCCTAATTTTATTTCTACCAAACAAATTTATACAGTTGGAGCCATAATATGGTAATATTCCCTAAATGGGCATTGACACATCATTTTGGGACCCTGACTCCTTCCCTCTTTTTCCTTTAGCAAGGTGTCCCACATATGCACACTGTCAGAATCTGCATCAACAACATACAGGTATAAAGAAAAAGTGAAGGAAAACTGAAGGGAAAAATAAGCTTTCAGTGCGATATTCTTTCAGGCAGCAAATAGTTAACTGTGTGTCAGTGCTATGAGCCAGATGCAGGGCCTGAGCACAGGGGAGACAGTGAAGAACAAAACAAGCCCCGCCCTCATGGAGCTTACAGTCCAGTGGGGAACAGAGACGTTAAAACAACACAGATCGCTGGGTGAGCCCAGGGAGGGTGGGCGGCATCGAGTGTGTAGTTACAGCCAACAGCAGGTTCAGCAGAGGCAGGAGGTTGCACTAGCAAGCCTTGCTGCCACCACAACCCCGAACACTGCTTACAGCCCAGTGTCAGAACCTCATTCGAATTCTGCAACCCAACCCTCACCAAAAAAACCTCCCAGAAAACTAAGTCCTGGGAGCTGGTTTTCCGTGACCAGGCAGAACAAGTTTCGACAGCTCAAAAGGCCGAACACAGAAACCAGGCTCTCGAGTCTGTCTTTAATCCTTAAAGGTAGCATCAGAAATCAATAAACACGCCTCCCACTTACCACATAGTAAAATCTTTTTGCGAGGGTATGTATGAATATTATTTTGGCGACGGCTGCAGTTCCATACAGACAAACGGAAACATAGAAGTGGTTATACCATGAGAGGGACCGTCCGATGAGGGAGATGAACACAGCTATGATAAGAACAGTGATCAGGCTGGTGAACCAGCTTATCAGGGTGATGCCAAGCCCACAGAAGAAGTCCTTCGCGTAGTGAGCAGCTGAGGAAAAGAAAGTACAACGCTGAGGTCACCATCTTCATGAAGTCAACCACACAACTGGTCAGTGGAATTAACAGGATAAACAAAAAATTCACCACTGTAACTGAAGAGTACTGAAATTTGCTGGTGTTGAGGTTTGTGAAGCACTAGGAGGGGCCACAGGGAAGGTATCAAAAAATAACCTTCAACGACTGTTTACTGGGTGTCTATGAGTACTAAGGACACCGAGCTAAGTCTTCCAGGAATAGCTCAGACACACCTCTGACAAGAAAAGTGGGTGGTCTTAGTCTTCATCACCTCTGGGATGCTTTCTCTATCAAAGTACCAGCAATGGAAGGCCAAGTTTCATATAAAATCCTGCCAAAAGAAGCCAACACAGGAAGAGAAAAGAGCATGGGAAAACTAACTAGGGAAAGAACCCACTGCCGTCAAGTCGATTCCGACTCACAGCGACCCTACAGGACAGAGTAGAACTGCCCCATACGGTTTCCAAGGAGCAGCTGCTGACCTTTTGATCAGCAGCCAATCTCTTAACTACTGCAATTATTTAAATTGCTGCTAAATATTTTACCCTCTAACAGCAGAGTTTAACTAAGACAATGAAACATTTCAAGCAGACACATTTCAAGGAGAAAGAAGTCAATTTAACCAAAAGTAGTTCGTGCATCCTCCAGGGTGCTATTTGTCTGTAGCACAGACAAGACTTTTTAATGGGACTTTTCATTAAAAACCAATCTGTACAATCCATTTCTCAATAGCTCCTATGTGGTACTCACATGCCGTACGTAAGCACATAAAAACTGCCTGTTTCACCAAGAGCAAAAGTATAGTGAGCACTATTAATTTGATAATCGCTTACGAATTTCTTACAACTACAAATCAAATGTTCTTTTCTCAGATTTTTAACTTCTTAGAAAGACACAAGCACAATGACTGAAAAACTTCAGGCAAATCCCATACCCACGCCAATGCTTACAGCTGTAGAGAACAATACTTACTCTTCTGTTTGGGCTGCAGCAATTTTTTGCCCAGGTACAAAACAACGGCCATGACCACCATGTAGTTAATGATTGAGCCAACACGGGAGGGGTAGGCAATGACGAAAAGGCCAAACACATCAAAGAAGACCATGTGTCCATGTTGATACTTGGAGGAAGAAGCCAGCATATCAGATGTAGCTAGATATTTAAGAACTGCTAAAATATTATCACCTATTAGTAAAAAAGACAGAGAACAACACTGAATAAACGATCTGAACGTAATTTACATGTATAACCACCTAAGGCAGAAATAAACCACCCACTGTTTGAGTAAAGAAACAGCAAGAAAGAATGTGAACAAAGAGAGCTTTCTAGCATCCTACTGCTCTCTCCTACTTCTCTTCCTAAACGTCTTCAATAAGGTCCATGCCCACTACTCCATTTCCTTTCCATTTATATCTCAGCCAACTCTAACCTGGCCTTTGTCCTTTCCCCTCTACTAGAACTATTCTCTATGATCAATTTTACTGTCCCAATTGATAAACTCAATGGCTGTTTCCCAGTTCCCATTCATTTAATATTTATATAGTTACTGGATCAGGCACTGTTCTAGACACCCGAAATTCAGTGGTAAACCAAGAGACAAAGACCAATGATGAAGCTCACAGACATCAGACAAGTTATTACAAGTGTGCTAACAGGGAGAGGTAGAGAGTGCTAAGGAACCTATCACTGGGGACTGATGGAGTTTGGGAAGTCTGGAGGCATCCCTGTGGAAGGAAGTGATATTTATAGCTAAAGAATAAACAGGAGCTAGTCACGCCAGGGTGTGGTCCAGACTGAAAGAACTGTGTGGAGAGAGGCCCTGGGGAGAAAAAGAGTCCTGAAAAGTCCTTAATGAGAAAGTCCTCAGCAAGGAAGCTGGAGAGGCAGGCCGAGCAACACCAGGCAGAACCTGGTACACCACTGGTCTGTGGTCAATGCCTCTTACCTCAAGCAATGAATGAATGTGCTTGACCTGTAACGTAGGAGCATGAAGCCTTGGCTGATCTGCTTTTCTTCCTGCTTCTCAGCCCATCCTTGAATTTCTGTTCCTCTCCCTTCTAAGACACTGCGCAGTCTTACCTCCAGATTTCCTTCATGGGCATCTCCATCCACCTCCAAATGTGCTTTCCCCAAAGCTCAGTCCTCTGCTCTCTACCTTTCCTTCACTCTGGCAAAACCCATTTCTGTTTTCCACACCCAAGCCCAGTTCTACAGTAGGTCCAATCCTGGAACTACAACTGCCCAGCTAGCATGTTCGCCTGGTTGCTTCATAGACCCCTCTGTGCGTTTGCCAGAGTGCACAGTCTCTACTCTGAATACGACCACTCTGGATGAGGGGTGCCCCCCACTTCCCCACCAAGGTCAGTGGCCCTTATACTTTGCCATTGTCATTGCTGCCATCTGACTCATGCCTTCTACTTAATGTCAAGTCTTACTGAATTTACAGTCCAAGCGTGTCTAATCTGCCACCGCTCCCCTTTGTTTCCACTTTCTGTCATCACCGGTCCAGCCCACATCATCCCCACTTACATTACTGTAGGAACATCCAGAACTGCCCTGGCTCCTACCCCTCTCCTCCACCATCCACACCACACTGCTGTACCAGATGAACAGTATTTAAACCATCTTACCTAGAGTTCAATGACACCCTCAGGCTTTCAGTGAGTCCTTATTTCCGGTAGCATCTGCTTGGTGACCTAAAACCCTCTACAACTGTCTCTACCCAGACTCTACCTCACTTCCCTCTATTTCTGAAAATACAGCTTCTGTTCTAGACCCACAATTTACCTGCCAACCCCCGCCCCCCGCACCTACTCATGCTGTGCTCTTATGTGGAATGTGTCTACCAACTCTTTAAGGTTCAGCATCAGATTCACCTCCTCTGACTACTGCAGATCTTTCTGGAGAGCACCTTTAACTTCCTTGCCCTAAGGCGTCCTCTGGCACCTGTCCAATACCCAGCTTACCTTCCCTCACCACCCAACCCTGGGTCAATGTAACTGTTTTCTTCTACACCTGGGAAAGCTGTGCAACATGTGTGCAGGTGCCACCTCCAGTTTACAGCCCTCACTTTGGCTGTATGCTCACTACTCAGCAAGCCTACCGTAAGTCCAGGTAGGTTCCCCTCCTCACTGCTCCCAACAGGTAGTCCTAGGTTCTTAACTAGGACAGCACAGTGAAAGGCTAAAATCCACTCTGCATCCCCAACTCCAAAACCCTAGCTCATTCATACCCCACACTGCCTAAAAGGTTTATAGATCATCCCTCACACCTCATCCTACTGTGTTATCAGAAGTCTAAATGAGAGTACCAACCTGCTCGCTGAATGGAACCTGTAGGAATTCTGTCCGCTGTGTCATACTTGGTGTGGTAAATGTATCCATTCTCAATAAAAGCTAAGTCTATTCCTAGGACATACAGAGAAAAAACAAAGTTATTTTGCTTTGAAGATCAACCTTGCTTTAGGCCTGTTACTTTATTAAATTTCTAAAAGGTAAAATGTCAAGGCAGTGGCATGACTGTTGTTACATTCATAAACGAATGACTGAACTCTCTTCCAAATTCTTACACAATCCACAGATGCAGCACGTAATTCAGTAACGATGAAGGAAGTACACACTCCAGAGGGAGGCGCTCCACATCACACAGCAAGGGGTGGGAATGTGGAGTTTTGGCGGTCATCAAAAGTTTGCCATCTACATCCTTGCCAAGCAAGAGCCAAACTTTAACTTCAAATAAAGCTGGACAAATTGCTAAGAGAGCTGGCAAAACAAGATAACGACAAAATGCAAAGACCCCTGAAAGATCCATGATCATCTCTTGCGAATGAAGTACTGAACAGTTCTCCCCTGTTCTCCAGTCATACTGCAGGGTGAGATGACAAGTTCTGGAAGAGGCAGCAGTTAATTAGCGTGGAGTCTACACAACAGGGAAAACATTAGGAGTGCTGTTCAGTCAGAACACACACCTCTCAGAATTTTCTCTCAGAAAATGCTGTTTACTCAAAACTTCCAAAAGGTAAAACTTGATTTTTGTAAGTCGGTGTCACGCAGTAGCTCATAAAACCACTGACGACATACCTGGAATGTTCCCAAAGTCCCTGTAGATACGGAAGTCTGTGTCTGAAGGAATGATTCCACTCTGAAAAACCTCCTGAGCCACCACAGAAGCAAAGGGGTGTTTGGCTGCTGAAACATAAGCTTGGACCAACCAAGGATTTTCAGGACCTGAAGTGAAACATGACAACAAAAAACAAGGTTGATCCAGTAAATTTCACATACTCATTTTTAATACACCTAAAATAGTTAACAGTAACAAATTTCAAAGGATTGAAATAATAAAAAGTATCTTCTCTGACCACAGTGGAATTAAACTAGAAATCAATAACAAAAAGATAACTAAACAATCCCTAAATGTTTGAAAATGAAGAAACCACAAGGAAAATTAGAAGATGTTTTGAACTGAGCGATAATAAAAATAAAAATAGGACATATCAAAAATTCTGAGGTGCAGCTAAAGCAGTGCTTGGAAAGATATTAAATACGTCTATCAGAAAACACTATATGCTGAAAAGCAATGATTTAAGCCATGGTTCTCAAAAGTGTGGTTCCCAGAGCAAAGCAGCAGCAGTAGCAGCATCACCTGGGAACTTGATAAAATGCAATTTCTCAGGCCTCACCTCAGACCTTTTGAATCAGAAAATCTGGGTATGGGGCTCAGCAAAGTGTTCTAACAAGCTCTCCAGATGATTCTGATACTTGCTCTAGTTTGAGAACCACTCATCCAGGCATCCATCTCAAGAAGTTAAAAAAAAAAACAAAAACAAAAAACCCAGCAAATTAAACCCAAGAATATGCTGTTGCTGTTTGCCATCGAGTTGATTCCGACTCATAGCAACCCTATATGACAGAGCAGAACTGTCCTAGGCTGTAATCTTTACAGGAGCAGATTGGCATGTCTTTTTTCCCACAGATCTGCTAGGGAGATTCGAACCACCGACCTTTCAACTAGCAGCCGAGCTCTTAACCACAGCACCACCAGGGCTCCCCAAAAAATACAGAAGCAAGGCAATAATAAATGAGCAGAATCAATAAAATAGAAAATAAGCATATATTAAAGAAAGAAAAAAACAGAAGTTGGTTCTTTAGAGCAATAAATTAATAAATCCCTCGGCCTGATACAGACTGGAGGAACCCCCGAGACTATGACCCTAAGACACCCTTCTGAAATGGAACTGAAGCCATTCCCAGAGACCACCCTTCAGCCTTCAAAATTTATATGAAAATGCAAAAGGCTAACCATAGACAGGCCCATAAAATAAACAATAACACCAGAGAGGAACGTGCTCCTTAGAACAACCAATTATACAAGATCAAAAGGGCAACATTTGCCCAAAAGCAAAGATGAGAAGGCAGGAAGGGGTAGCAATACAAGACAAAAGGAAATGGGGAACCTAGGATGGAAATGAGGGGAGTGCAGGCACACTGTGGGGAATGAAACCAATGTCACGGATCATTTTATGTACATACTATCGAAGGGGAAACTAATTTGCCCTGTAAACTTTCACCTAATGCACAATAAAAAATTTTTAAAAATTCTTAAGTGGAAAAAAATAAAAAATTAACAAATCCCTAGGCAAGAGCAGAAGGAGCCCTGGCAGTCTGAACTCACCCAGTGGCTCCACAGGAGAAAAACCTGGCGATCTGTTTCCGTAAAGATTACAGCCAAGAAAATCCTATGGGGCAGTTCAACTCTGTCACACAGGGTTGCTATGAGTCAGAAACTGACTCAACAGCACACAGTAACAATAAAAGACAAGAATAAACAAGGAAAAAAAATGACAGGTATAAATGACCAATATCAGAAATGAAAAGGAACATCACTGCAGATACCACAGACAATAAAAAAATATCAACTTCATACTAATAATATTTGAATGGGGTAGAAAATCATTGAAAAATATAACTAACTAAAACTGAAATGAGAAGTAAGAGAAAACGTTAACGGTCCTATACATACTAAAGAAAATTCCAGCGCAAGTGGCTTCACCAGAATTTTCCCAAACATGTAAGGAAAAAAATAATACTAATCTTACACAAACTCTCCCAGACAGAAAAAAAAGGAATACTTCTGAACACATTTTATGAGGTCAGGAAAACCCTGATACCAAATCTGACAGACTTTACAAAAAAAAAGGAAAATTAAAACCAAACTTTCTTATAAAAATATCCTAAACCAACTATTAGCAAATTGAATCCAGCAATATATGTACAAAAAAGATAATACTTTCCAACCAAGTTCAGCTTATCCCAGAAATACAAGATTGGTTTAATACTTGAAAATCAATCCTTGTAATTCATCATGTTGCCAGAATACAGGGAAAAAAAATTGATAATCTCAATAGATAAACAAAACATGTCTGAGAAAGGTCAGTCATTCATGACTTTAAAACTCTTAGCAAACTAGAAACACAAAGGAACTTCCATAAACTAATTAAGGGATTTCTCTTAAAAAAAAAAAAAAAAATTAAATATACATACACATACACAAATAAGATTAGAAGGAAAAAATAAAAATGATATTCACAGAGATGACATGAGTATGAACACAGAAAATTCAGAAGAATCTACAGGTAAATTATTAGAATTAACAAGCAAGTTTAGCAAAGTTGCTGGCTACAAGGTCAATTTTGTAAAGATATAAACTATAACAACATAAAAAAAAAAATTCAAGTATTTAGCAATATATCTAAATAAATGCGTGCCAGACCTCCTCCCAGAAAACTGCAAAGCACTGCTAAGAGAGATTAAAGACGACTTAAAAAAAATAAAGGGATACACCACATTCATGGGTTGGAAGACTCAATACTGCAAAGATATCAATTCTCCTCAAATTGATTTATAGATTCAATGCAATATCAATCTAAATCTCAGCCAGCTGTGTGTGTGTACATGTAGAAGTTGACAAGCTGATTCTAAAATTTATATGAAAATTCAAAGGGCCAAAAATAGCAAAGACAATCTTGAAGAAGAACAAAGCAAGTGGACAATCAGATATCTATCAAGAACTATTATAGAAGAGTTCCAGCAAGATGGCGCTCTAGGCAGAAGCACCACGCCGTCCCTCCACAGCAAAGATCCAAAAAACTAAGCCAAACAGAGAATGCAACAATCCTGAAACCCTAGAACATCAAATGAAGAGATAAAGAACTCAGCTGAGCACCAAATGGAGTGAGAATACTGACAGAGAACGGAGAGTGAGGAGAGAGTCATGCAGAGGTCCCCTACCAGCTAATGGAGCGTGGATCCACCATCCTGGACTCCTATCGGAGACCAGCAAACGGGGGTACGAGAAAGCAGCCTCACGGAGCATCCAGTGGGAGACAAAACAGCCGCTTAGCTCCACACATAACCATCTCCCCGCTGCATCCTGCCTACCTGCACCATGCACTTGACATCACACCACCAAGCAGTGCAGGCACGACCTACTGGAACCTGCCCAGCACTGAGTACTGACCCGCCCTGGTGGCTGTAGTGAGTGCCACAAACAACCCATCCCAGTGGCTCCTCTTCAGCTAGACCTACCCTGCTGTACCTTACCTGAGTGACTGAACCTGCCAGTTGGAGAAGGAGGAAAAAAGTATTGAGCGCACAGATGAGCAAACAACAAAGAGCACGCAGTCCGCCTGCTCAGACATACTCAAATTTTTTTTTTAAAAAAAGGGATGAAACAAACAATCTACAATCAATAAATGAGAGAAATAACTACTGAATGCCCTGAAAACAGCAAACAATATCTAAACATTTACAAAAACAGGACAGGATAGTTCCAGTAGGCGTCCAAATTAAAACACCAGATGACTCTCCTGTGGAAGAAAATGCACTAGAAGTACCTGATAGGGAATTCAAATCTCTAATACTCGGAATTTTCTAAGAACTGAGGCAAAAAGCTGACAAACATGAGAAAAAAACAGACAAATTCATGGAAAATACAGACAAAAAATTGGAGGAATTCAGGAAG